CTCATGGAACTGCAGATTCTCCCTCTGTACTCACTGCTGGCCACTCTAGAACTCTTAAAGGGCCAGCAATCTGTTTGAAAGTGTTACATAAATGCACTCCCAAGGCCAGTCTTTCCTCTGCGTCCCAACCACATGGGGACATGGGGACAGGGCTGACGGGGCCTCTGTGACTCACTCCCTCGGATATCACTTCTGTCGCAGGAAGGTACACAAACAGTGACAGGCCTTCAGACATGTCAGTTCAGGAGAGAAGCTCCTATGTGCCACACACTGTGGAGCTAGTCCCCATTTAACAGATAGGAAAACTGAGGATCGAAGGACTAACGAGTACCCAGGATCACCCAGTTGGAGCCAGGATTGAATTCCATCAGCTCAGAGAGCTGCGCCATGTCACCCAAGCCCTGCCCTCCTGTTACTGGGCGGTAAGCTTCTGCAGGACAAGATCTCATGTGACCCACCTTGATGTTCCTCATGTTATGTGACCTGGTGTCTCCTACATGGGAAACCCTCGAAGCCCCAGCATCCCCTGCTTCAAATCCTGCGTTACATACACACCCTCCTGCACCCCAGTCTTCACTGCTCGCCTTACAGATACGGAATAAAATGCAAACTCTTCAGCGTGAGAGATAAGACCCTTCACAACTCGAGTCCAGGCTGCCATTTCCGCCTCAGCGCCAGCCAGTTTCCCGTCAGATCCCAGGATCAGCCCTTTGCTGCTTCTGAACGAGGGTCAGGGCCCTTGTCCTTCCTTGTTATTCCATGTTATTCCCTCGCCTGGAAATGCCCTCCCCTCTGACTCTGCCTGTGAACTCCTACGCGATCTTCAAAACACACCTCACACACGGCCTCCAGTGCGAGCCCGGCTTAGCCCTGTGCCCGCTCCCAGCGCCCTGGGTGCCTGTGCGTGCTACTCACTGCACCTCGTGATGGTTACTTTCTCTTGTGTTTATACCTTTGGACAAGTAGTCACATCCTCCCCAGCATCTAGCACAGTGTTGAGACATAGCATATGTTCAGTAAATGCTTATTGATGACTCAATTAATTACCAATTATGAGAATTAGTGACATCTCTTGGAGACCAAAGATACAACACTGAGTCCTATTACCTGGCCCCCAGCGCTCTGCGCTTCTCCCACACGCCTGCTTGCCTGCTTCTCTCTTCTCTGGGCTGTGGGAGACGGCCTGACGAGTCCCCCACACTCACCCCGGGAAGCGCAGGGCCGCCCAGGGGCCACTAGGAGCTGAGAAGCAGTCTGGGCCTATCTTACCTTTCCTCTTCTTGTCCCTTCAACACAGTCCCTTCAGTCACCTATCTTTCTCTAAAGGTTTGTGTTTTGGAAGTCATCCAATCCAAGTTCTTCGTGGAATTCAGTAAGACAGAAGCACAGAATGAAGGAACTTATGAATCCACCCATCACCATCCTAAAGCCTCCTGACACACCTGCGTCCACACCTCTGCATCCACACCCTGCGTCCACACCCCTGCCGCCTGCACCTCAGACCCCGGCCTGGAGGGTCAGAGGGCACAGGTGCGACCTGTACGGGATGTCCTCCCGCGGGAGGGCTCAGCGTCAGCTCCTCAGCTCCACGCCGCTTGGCCTGAGAGCGGAGCTTCTTTAAATGCCTCACCCAGTCCCCGCCCTTCCCTGGGCTTCGTCCTGGCCCGGCTCCCAACCACCCTCAGCACCTGTGCCCGCCGGCAGGGCCCCGACGCCGGCCTCACTGAATGCAGTGACGTGGGTTCTCCGTGTCAGACCTGCTGCTCTCGGGGGCCTGATGCTGCACCAGCATTGTTGGCGGCCACACGGCTCAGACGGAGCCTGCTGCCCCAAACCCCAGGGCCTTGTCACAGGAACTACAGCCAAGCAGACCCCCCCCCGCCCCCCGCTGATTGTGAGTCTCCAGAGTAGCCCCTTAAAGAAGGCGTGTGGGAGCCAAGGGAGTCAGAGCCACCAGGAAATGGGTCGAGGAGGTGAGGGAGGAGAGGACAGGGTCCGAGAGATGGAGGGTTGAGGAGCCAGAGATCGAAGCGATGGGGTCAGAGGCACAAGTCACAGAGCAGGGAGGGCGGCAGAGTCCAAGGGGCAGGACAGGTCGTGGAGGAGGCCCTGGAGCGTCAGAAACCCGAGGGAGGTGTCAGAGATGATGATCAGGCCTGGCTGGCGGGGCTCAATGGTTGACTGTCCACCCATGAACCAGGAGGTCACAGTTCGATTCCCAGTCAGGGCACATGGCCGGGTTGCAGGCTCGATCCCCGATCCCATCAGGGGTATGCAGGAGGCAGCAGACCTATGCTTCTCTCTCTATTCCTCTCCCTTCCTCTCTCTAAAATCAGTGAAAACGTAGAAGAAAGAACTCGGTGAGTGGAGGGCTTGGGGGAGGAAGAGACCCCCTGGGAGAAGAGCTGGGAGAAGCTGCCGGATGGTGTCCAGACGGGAAGGAGCGTCTCAGGGGAATTCGCTGCGCAGGCCCCACGGCGGGACTTTCCTTTCTGCGGGGTCTTGGGCTGGAGAAGCCACCACCAGTGTGTCTCCCCTTCACCCCACCATCTGCCGGGGCTGGGGGCCCGGCCTCACTGCCACTCTGGTGCCGAATCTCGCCTCCCGAGGGCTCAGGTGGGTCCTGCGGGGGGGCGGGGCGCTCCTCTCACCCTCCAGAGGCACTGAGATCCGACCCAGCACCCCGAGAACATGCCCCCACCCCCCGCTGAAAACGCTGGAGGCAGGTCAGTGTTCAACGTGGGGGTGGCGGGGCCCCAGGGGAAGGACAGCGCCAGGATGAGGAGGAGGCACTGGGTTTGCAGAGAACTGGGGGGAGGAACTTCAGCCCCATTCATCGCAGGCCCTGGGCCCAGATCCTCCTTCTCCAGACAAACCCTTTTGGCCCATCGCGAGGAGAAAGGCCCAGAGAGCCGCCCGGCGCCCCCCACTCTTCCTTGGGGCCCAGACGTGCCCTTGGCCGAGCCCTGGGGATGAGGCCTCTGGGGGAGAAAAGGGGAAGAAGGTGTCTGGGGATGCGGGCGGGCCCTGAGCAGGAAGCCAGCAGGAACCAGGGCCCTCCCTGCACTGCAGGGGCCACAGCTCTGAGCAGAGAAGGACAAAGAGGAAATGACAGATTGGGGGGGAGGGGGGGAGCCGGCCCCTTCTCTGGGAGGAGCTGGACCTGCCAAAACAGGCCGGGCGGGGCCGCCAGGACACCTGTGCTCAATTTCAACCAAATTGAGAAATGCGGCTCCGGGGAGCAGAGGGAGCAAGCGGCATGTCCCCATTTCAGGCCCAGGCCCCTCGGGGCTCCTCGGGGAGAGGCGCGGGCAAGCTCCGGGACAGTCCCCACCCCTCCTCTGCCCTTCACCCGTCTTCAGACCAGGCCTCAGGCTGCCTTGCTCTCTGGCGTCCCAGGTCCACAGCCTCCCCTGCCCTCCCCTTTGCACAAAGGGACCAGGAGGGTCCCAGAGAACGGGAGGGGCTGTCCCCACCGGGACCCTCATCTGTGGCCCAGCCAGGCTGCATAGGGCACTCTCCTCACCAGGACCCACCCTAGTGCCTCCTCGGACTCTCCCAGGCCCTTGTCCATCCCTCCATTCAGACCCAAGGACCCGCCATTGCCCCACGGAGGGCCCGGCCTTCTTCACGCAGCTTCCTGCCTCGCGGCCCATCGCCTGGTGGGTGGCACCCAGCCCCTCTCCCTGCGAGCACCTCTGCTCCTGAAGCGCCTACCGTCCTGGCCCGAGTGCTGCAGGTGGTCCTGCAGGTCACACCCGAACACCCGCTCCTTCGAGCTGCCCTTCTTCTTGCCTTTCTGCCGAGACTTCATGGTTGGAGCCCAGGCCTCTGGCCCAGCCACCTCCGTCCCCCAAAACCTTTGGCCTACGGGTCCCCCAGGAAAGTCCTAGCCAGCCTGCGGGCTTGGCCCAGCCCAGGGGGCAGGGCTCCGAACTGGGGGTGGAGGCGGCCTGGGCAACAGGCAGCAGCTCCTGCCTCTGGGGCTCCGGCCGTGAGGAAGTGGTGGTGGAAGAGGAAGCTGCCAGGACCCCGGCACAAAACTGTCTCGTGGCCGACCTGGCACTTGCCCCTCAGCCTGCTCAGCCCGGAGGGCAGGAAGCAGCGCAGCGCCCCAAACCCGCTTCCTGTTAGAGCATCTTTCAACCACAGGGCGGGGTGTGGGAGGTAGCTGACATTCACATCCTCACACGTTGCTGGGCTCTGCCCATTGGTTGAGGGGAGGTGATGTCAGAGTCCTGGGGTGAGTGTGCGGCTGGGGTGTGAGCAGGTGACGGGCACTTAGAGCCAGGGATGCTGGGTCCCAGGCAGAGACCTGAGGCTGGTCCCCAGCGAGGCAGCTTGGAGCTGTGCCCAGCACACACAGGAGGGAGGGCCAGGCCCGCCGACGGGCCCTTCACACAGGGACCTGGAAGCCCTTCCCGCTCGAGCCTCCGGGGAACTCCTCTGCGGTTTGGCTTCTTTGCCTGCCTCCCGGCCTGTGCTGCCCACGGGCCCACAGCCCTGCCTGCCCCACCGGGTCTCACGATGGTCCTCCCGGGACCACAGGACGGCGCTGAGGCCGACAGCAGGGTCCAGGCTTACACAGCTCAGGGGGCCAGACAGGAACAAGGCCAGACAGGTATCATCTGTTTATTTAAAAACAGACTATCATTTTATGTACAAATATGGACATATTTACATAGAATGTACACACTAGGCCCCAGATCCAAAGCCTTGGGCTGGCTGGGGAGCAGGGCGGGTCTCTCCTGTGACCAGGAAGCCGCATCGCAGGCCTGAGCGGTGGCCTGCAGGCGCCCAGCTGGGGGCTCTGGCTGCATGTGTCTGAGTGGACAGGCAGAACGGAGCCTTGTCTCACTGCAGCCTCCAACCACAGAAACGGCCAGAAAAGCCCTGAGGTGGTGGCCCCAAGGCCCAGGGGAAGGAGCCAGTCTGGCCCCCAGCAGCTCCTTCGCATCCCCTGAACCCCCACCCTCTCTCCCCAACAACAACTGAACCAGGAACCCTTGTCACCAAGTCCCAACAACCCCCCACAGGTCCACAGGCCACTGTGAACGCGACGAAGAAAGCAGAGGGGCTCAGGGGACAGAGGACCGACCCTGCCCTCCGGAGCCTCAGCCACTCCCACCCGCAGACCCCCTGGCTCCAGGCTCCCTCCCAGAGGCCACCTGGGCGTCCTGGGCATGTCTGTGCCGACAGCCTCACTTCAAGGAATGAGACACTTTCATGTAAGTGAAAAGCTTGTTTACAGTCTTCCTCTTACTAAAGGGCTCACAGCGCCGGTCCTTAAAGAAATATGTGCAGGCAGCAGGCCCAGCCACCAGAGGGCAGAGGGCTTCTCCTGTGGCAGCTGGAGCCTCTGGGGACCAGGCTGGCTTCACACTCGCCCCCTGGCTCCAGCGCTGGGAGCCCCGCTCCCCACCAGGAGCCAGATCCCAGCTCCAGCTGTGCCCGCACACCTGGAAGTGCCCACAGCAGCTCCACCTCTGGCCTCCAGCCTCCGCATCATTATAATACTGCTCTGGGGTCTGACGAAAACACCTGTTTGCAGGTGGAGGGCATGCAGCCACACAACACTCTCACGCAGCTGCCCGGGGCCTGGGCACAGCAGTACCGGGCACTGGACCCTGACAGATGGCATGACGCGCAGCACAGGCTCCCTCCTCACACACAGTCGGCGCACAAACACACACACACACACACACACACACACACACTGACCTGCGCACACAGCAGGGACTCAACCAATGGAGCCATCTGGGTATCAGACACAAGGGCTGGAGGAAAAGGTCGAACAGTCAGCGGGGAGCGGGGGGCGAGATGAGCTGAAATCCTGTCAGCAGAGGGAGCCAGGCTTTGGGAGGTGGGCCTGGGTCACACCAGGTGCCCCCGCCCATTGATGTAGATGCCATTGCCCGTGGGCTTGGCCCGCAGCGTCCCATTCTCCTGCACGAAGTGGCTCATGGCCTGCTTGATGCCCTCGTCGCGGTCCTCCTCCCCCTCTGCCCGCTCGCAGCCAGAACTGGGCGCCAGCAGCTCTGTCTGGGTCTCGATCTCCCGCACGGTGGTCAGTGTGGAGTAGCTGCGACCTTCGGGCTCTTCACTCTGGAGGCCAAGGGCAGAGGGCATGTCAGGAACCAAGACAGGGCAGCCATACCCTGGGGGGGGGGGGCGCGGAGGGGCAAGGTGGGGTCGTAGGTCAAGCATAAACAGGGGTCAGGGGTCATGGCTGTCTCAGAGGCACTGGGCATGAGAGGAGGAGCTGGGAGCAAGTGCTGGGTGTGGGGACAGAAATGGAGATGAAGGTGGAGCAGGAGGGCATGGTGGGGCCGTCTGAGCCAGGCTAAGGGGCAGGCCAAGGACAGGGAGGGGCCACTGACCCCCCGCCCCCCACTGGGAACAGGACAGGAGCCTGAGGAGAGTGGTGGGGACGCGGTGGGGCCGGGGGCCTCACCATCACAGAGCAGCTACTGTTGTCCTTGAGACTATCAGGGTGGCCCTCGGCTCTCAGCCCTACACTCTCCTCCGGCTGCAGGGCCCGGACACGGGGAGGAGTCAGGACAGGGCTCGGCCTCCACCTCTGTCTTCCACCAGCTCCTCCCTGACCACCACTCCCCCAACCCACAGTCCATTCTCTCCTGGATACAAACATCCTCGTGCCCCCACCCCGCCAGGATCAGTGCTGATGGGGCTTCCCGAGGACCCAGGGAACCAAAGCAGCTGTGAGTCAGTGGCCAGCCCGACGGAGGGCTGTGCTCCTGGGCAGAGGGGCACCCACCTGGCTCCTGGGGTCCGAGTGGTGGGAATGCAGCCTCCGGATGGAGTTCTCCCTGGTCAGGGTCAGCTCCTCCTCACTGGGAAAGACACCCCTTGGTCAGGAGCAGGGACAGAGGTGGCCCTCCACAGGGAGCCCCCTGGCCGGGCCTCTGGGAGACAGGGCCCAGGGTGATGTGCTGTCCCTGCAAGTGTGCCCGACGGCTGTGGCGGCAGCATGGCTGCGGAGCATGTGTGCGTGCAAGTGTGTGTGCATGGTGACACCTGGGTGTGTGGATCTGACCCTCACAGGCAGCGAGGTCCTCCCCATCCAGCCGTGGCCGACCCCGAGCCCCAGAGGCCCACCCCCTTTCCT